AAACACGCCCATTCAGAGTTATATTCTGAAGCTAGATGCTGACCTGAAACGTCCAGATAACAAAGGACAAGGCACAGCGATGATGCGAGTTCCTGGTTATGCACGTGTTCTGTAAGAACATGGGAATAACGACCGTGAGAGCCTGTACACCGAGTTGCGACGTAAACACGCTACTGAGGCTCGAGACAAGGGACATGAAACAAAGTTTCATCTATCCCGACCTACGTGGGAACAGTTTTATGATACTGTATCCACCCTTTTTCCCGCACACCGAGTAACATCGAAGGGAAAAGCGGCAGTTAAGAAGCCGCGAGAGCACACCGATCACGGGTACGTATCCAGGCAGACATCAAACGAGAGACCCCAACATACACGTGCTCGTGACTCCACTCTATCCACGTGACCCAATAAACGGGCACGCGCGGTGGCGAAGGACAAGGAACCTCCATTTAAGGAGATTAAGAAATGTGCCGACGCACAGTGTGGGTATGACATGTACCAATTGACCCCTAACGGTTATTGGAATGGCAGGCATGCATCCACCTGTACACACTTTCTTATTAAGTACGACAAGTGTGAGAAGACCAATGGCTATCACACTAAGTCTTGTGACAAAAAGCCCGACATTAAGTTGGAGTGAAAGTACAACCAGGTACAATCGTTACACAGACAATACAACGACTCTTTAGATGAGCGTGTAATAATCCCTGTATAGTGCAATGGAAGTAAAATCCTTGCGTTGATTGATCCTGGTTCTGAAATTTCATGTATATCCGATCGTTTTGCATTAATGAAAGATATCGAAAGGAGAACACAAACAACTCACCTCACTTTAGCAGATTATAAAACTTCTACGAGTGATACCATGGCCACAGATGTTAAAAAATATTCCTGGCCGATGATAGGAATATCACTACCCAAGCTGTGATAGTCAAGATGTCACAGAAGTACGACATTATAGACCTGCCCACGTCCGAGCACACAAGCGACCGTTACGTATGTTACTTCTTTGATGTGGCGTCACGGTTTAACTTGCTCTATCCATTAAAGGATAAGAGTACGCAGACCGTGGCAATTATGTTGCCAAGTCTTTGCACGGGTGGCCAGGTATTATGTGCACTGTTAACGGTAGTGAGTTCTGCGATGACGTAATGGAATCGCTAGTACTCGTATCAGGCATATGCCATAAGAAAGGTGTGCCATATAAACCGCAAACGCAAGGCGCGAATGAAACGTGCCCTAGAAGATTTGAGTTCTTCTTGCGTACTGCATTAACGGATGATGCAGATGATTGGCCGTACCACCTTAAGTGGGTACAAACACAGATGAACGAGTGTGCTGATCCGGTTACAGAAACTACACCCGCTCACTATTTTTGTGGCAGATATAGTGAGTTATAAATACCCTTTAACAAGGATGAACCTGATCACCATGAGTTACCATGGTTAGTGAAGGTACAACGTATTTATAACGTTGTATATCCTTGCTTGCGAGAAATACGCAATATAGCCTTATTAAAAAGGCAAAAGCATTGGAACAGCACACTCGTTCATATGTGTTTGTCTTTCTTATGGCATATGCCTGATACGAGTACTAGCGATTCCATTACATTATCGCAGAACTCACTAACGTTATCACTGCACATAATACCTGGCCACCCGTGGTCAGCAAAGACTTGGCAACATAATTCTGCCACGGTCTGCATACTGTTATCCTTTGCTGGATAGAGCAAGTTAAACCGTGACGCCACATCAAAGAAGTGGCATACGTAACGGTCGCTTGTGTGCTCGGACGTGGGCAGGTCAACCAGATCAATAATGACCCTGCGCCATGGAATATTTTCGGTCACACTCCCAAGCGGTGCAAACCTATAGCGCTTGATCTGATTGAGATCACAGTCTGTAGGCAAAAACATATTTATTGCACTCATATCTAAACATACCCTGACTTTCTTAAACGATCCGTCAGAGTTATGTTGGTCTACGGCTAGCAGTGCCAAGTTAACTGGCGTCTGTTGATAGTTAATTTCTATCACTCCATCTGCTAGCCATTTCTCAACTTGTTCTATTACCACAGCCTCGTGTCTCCAGGATACATAGTTCCTTGAGGGACACTTTAACTCTGTAAAGTCCACCTTGGTTAAGTCAAGGCTGACATACCCGTGGTTAAAATTGTATTTTGCCCAATCTGTGATCTTTATCTTCTTATTAACTAAAGTCGAATCTATGATTTTGTTCGCAAAGCCAGGTATTAATGCCTTGACTGTGTCTGACGGGGGCTTATTGTCTGACTGTTCCTTTAATCGATCTATGTTATTTGGTAGACCAGTT